GCAGTGCAGAAGGACTTAAATCGCGTGGCTTGTTTTGGCACGGCCTGGTATCAGTGGTGTCAGGAGCGGCCTCTATGGAGTGAGCTCGTGATTGATGTTGCTGCTGCAGCAGCTTGTGGCGTTTGCCTTCCAGCAGCAATAGAAGATGGTGGGGGGGGGGGGGGGGGTACACACTGATGAGCAAAGTGTTCCACAGCGCAGAGACAGCAGAGTGGAACAATAGGAGGTGCCATTTGTTGCAATTACAACAGGGCGCTACTGACCTGTGATGTTTGGGTCTGCCCTGTCACATTTTTGTCATTGGGTTTATGTCTTCGTGTGCACCAGGCCTGGGCCACAGGTACCTTGATCACAATTCACATGGGTGTAAATTCTTTCTTTATTTTGGGGTCACTAACCAAGGGGGTAAATGTTGAATAGCCAAGGGGGAGAGGGAGGCCATGCCATCGTTTAATTGAGGGGCCACAACATGTGGCTTCGTCTCCCTATCCAGACGTTTCCTCAACGTTTCCTGACCGCCAATTGGTGGTAAATGGCACCTGGTTTTATTTGTGCATATGTCCATTTTCAGGATGTGCCTACGTGCACACAGAGACGGACCGTCATGGCCAGCAAGGCCTTCTCTGCTGGCCTAGAGATTGTCAGAATCAGAAAATGTTATTTTTATAATTTAATATATATATTTTCATTAATGCTATATGTATTTTACAAAGTTCGTTCCCATAAGTCTATTAACGTCATTTCATTGCTCCTCTCTCAGTTGCGCTGCTTCCAGTGCAGCTCATAAATTAAAGCTTTTATCCAATCAGATTTCCACCTGTGCTGTCTCCGGGTGAAAAATATACCATGAGGCCTTCAGAATTTCGAGTGAATCCCCTCTGCTGTTGAAGCAAATGGGAACGATGTTGTTGATTGTAATATTTTTTAACCAATCAGATGTCGAGTTTGCCATGGTGGGCGTGTTCTTTGACACACCGGGGCCTTCTAGCTGGCCGAGCCACCTACGTTCGCATTTTTCGTGTGGCGTGATCGGAGGGCCAGTTAGCTAACTGAAGTAAAACTAGCTAGCACGTAACGTAGCATCATCTAAGACTTAAACTTTCATTCGTGACGTTTAGATTTTTAGATGTAGTGCTTTAGATTTTTGTTTTCTGTTGGGAAGCCTGTTGAATCCTGATTATGTTATTTGTGTTTTACGGCATTTCTGCTTACTTGGTGGTCGTATGAGTAAATGTGACTGGTTGTTATGAGTTTGTTCTTGTTTCTTTGGTAATGACATTGATTTAGGCTATGCAATGTCTATTTGTGATGCAGCATCCTGGAATACTGCGTAATAGTGGTACATTCTTGATGGTTTTAATCACCATGTATTCATGTCTCTGCAATGAGTGTATTGTAACCCTCATCGGTGTTTGAGCCTCGTGTTAAATCACTTTATTCCACTCGATAAAGGTTACTGTCACTGTGAATATGGGGTGATTACGTTGAATGACAATAGCCTATAGCCCTAGTGTCATGGTGAGGTTATCCGTAGGCGGTTTAATTGTGGGAGGACAGCACTGAAGGCCTCGGTGTAAAATACACGGCCCGCCACTGTGTGCACAAATAATAATAACAACACGTAGAGTAATATAAATACTATACTTCTAATGCCATTCTGAAGTGCATTGTTGCATTCACATCGTTTACACGTGCAGGATCACTGTACTTATGACAGTTTGGGTACATTGACAATCAATGACCATTCACGGAAACCACGCTCACCGACAGAGCCACGTTTTGAGGAGTGACTTCAAACACTGAAGGGCTCGGCTGATGTTTTACAGGAAAATTATTGTGGAATGTCGGAAAATGAATTGGACAAAATGGCCAACACCAGACAGATTGGACGGGAGAACTGCCAGGAGATAAAGAGTTTGCTGCTGATCGCAGTCTCCGGGATGGGATGCGTGGTGTGATGAGGAGGGCCCGCTCACAACAACGAGCGGAGCGTCAGGTGGCTAAAGCACAGCAAGTTGGCACAGTAGGGGGCACAGATGGTGCATCAGCCAGTCATCTCACTCAGTCGACCCGTGGCAACTGGCTCTGCCCCGTAACCTCCTGCAAGCGGGCGTTCGACACTTCACGTGGCCTCAACGTGCACATAGCCTGGCACAAGCGTTGTGATGATGTCACCGCCACTTAGTGGCGAATGGCGGTTGTTGAGCTTGGTACAAGCCCATGGACTTTCCTAAACGTTAAAATGTCACAATATACGGTACTGTACGATGACTGGAAGCTAATGTAGTTGTTTGAGAATTGGAGTAATTTGTGTGACGGATTTTTTTTTTACAAGACATTTTTTAATAAATAAAATTGTAACGTCATGAATACAGCACTGCATAGCAACGGTTTCGGCAGTTTGTCACAAATACAGGACACGTGAGCATTTCTCTCGTTGCTATGTCAAGGCATGACCTATTGTGGGCATTGTTGGGTACTAAATATCACATTTATTCTTTGCAGTAATCGTGGGTGTGATTTCCAAGTGAGAGCATAGATAACGTTGCATGTTCGCTGTGAGTGAAAACCACACGTATATGCAGTGTGATTCACTGACCGAGTTGTCCTACAATCAGAAATTTACCAATTGTAGTTTGGCTCAGCCTGCCAACACCTCCAGAGTCGATGAAATGGGCACCACTTTGTGGTAAGTGAACGGTGGTTTTCCGATGGAGAAACTGGTCTCCATCATAGGAATGTGGAGTTTCCACCACTGGCTCAATGCAGCTGGCAGAGATGGATGCCTCCCTGAGAATTGTTTGAGCACAGAGACACTTTGACTTTCACAGGACATTTACCACGTTTTACCCTCTATATCAATGGTCTCTCTGCACCGCTAACCCTGAGGCATTAGCATACATCATGAGTGAAAGAAAATTATGAAACAAAAGTCACGATTTCTGTACTTTATCTACAATATTACAAAGTATACAGCACTGTATTTCCTAAAACTGGTTTATTCTGGCTCACGTGTACATCTAAAATATTCACATATTGCGATGCAGATAACATCTTAGAATCCAACTGGTGATTTGCAATGGCTGTCTGAGTCTCATTGGTAATTATGCTGAATCTAAATATTCCCAGAACTCCTTTCACCTTGTGTCACTTTATATAAACATCCGTGAAGGCATACGTTTTAAAGGCCAGTTGTGTGTTTAATGCTATTGCATTGCACGTGGATTTAAGCCACGTGTATGTATCGTGCCACATCTGTATGTATGTATGTTGAAATTATTTCGCAACGTGCGTAGCCAACCGTGCTAATCGGAGGCACGGGGGAAGGGCAACAAACTAAACACAAGCAGTTCGAAAGAAATTAGTTTTCAATTTAGAAAATTATATATTTTTTAAGGGAGATCTCAATACTTGTACCTAGCATGCTTGTGTCAGGACAATTATGATTCTCTTAATAATTTAACAATATGTGGGCAGTTGGCAATTTAGGAGATATGGAACATCGCACAAACACACGGTGGCCTCGTATTGCGAATTGAGTCACGGATACTTTACACAAGAGGCTGCACTTTCACCGCTCCTCGGGGAAATCCTCAGGCGGCTGCGGGAATCGAAGCGTCAACTCCGCGTAAAATGGTTCGTTGGCGAGAATGCTGACCGCCTGGCAATGCAGCCACCTCCATCCCGAGTGTTTTTTTTTCCCTGAGGGGGCACTTGGAATTTTAACTGTACAGCCCCACCGTGCCCTCCTTGGTTCAGACAAAAGGAATTATTGACCTTGTGGCAGCGGCCTCATGTTTCTTTTTTATCCCAGGTAACTGAGGCTTGTGTACTCTGCAGACCGAGCCTTTTTAGTGCATTTCCTTGTTTCGAAAAGCAAAAATGAGCCGAAATACTGTTTTTTTTTTTAAAGAGTGTCCTGCTGCATTGGGATGTTTGATCAACACCAATCACGTTGTATGTCATCTAGCTATGGGAGGAAACCGAAAAACCGTGAGGAAAAGCCATGCAGACAAGGGGGATAAGAAACAAACTTCACACTTAAAGGCACCAGAGTCAGAGGTCGAACCGAGTCAATTTTTTTGCTGTGAGGCGTGAGTGTGACCACTGTGCGACCCTACCGCCCAAGCTGATGTTTAGATATTAAATTTGCATACTCTACAGACAAATATTGTACTTCTGAATGTCTGCGTGACAAGGCATGCCTTGTTATCACTGATACAGATATTTGCCTTGAAATTACGCAGTACATTTTTCCTGATAATCTAAATGCTGCAGTAATTTTGTATGCATAACACGAATACATGAATACCTTCCCGTAATAAAAAAAGATACAAATGTAGCGAAAACACTGATATATGTTTTCTCCCCGGTTTAGGCCACGTTAGTAGTTTTATGCCAAAATTATTATTTATAACTTAAAACTAACTTTTACAAAAAAGTGAGTTTGTATAATAAACACCATTGTCAACAGGAAGGTGACCAGTCTAGGCATGTATCATTAAGCACTCATACAAACAATGCTAAAGGGATTGCATCGAAAAAGTGGTTTATGAATACAAAAGCTTACAATGCATGAACACCTTTTCCTAAAAGGTATATGGCAGCTGTAAAGTGTTAGAAGCCTGCGTTGATGCATTCACAGCAGAGGCGTTGTGTCACTTCATTTGTTATTCATCACCACTGCTAGCTTTTGTCCGTGCCATGGCATTTGTGATGCCATCACATGAAGGAAATGGTGACAATGATAACGATGATGATCACGGTAGTGATGATGATGATGATAACGGTGGTGAATAATGCCTATGATGTTGATGATGGTGATGATGACGACGATGTTGATGGTGATGACGATGATGCTGTTGATGGTGGTGATGCTGAAGATTAAGTTGATGCCAATGATGATGAAGGTGACGAGGTTGATGTCAATGATGATGCCAACGTCGGTAACAATGACGACGACGACGATGACGCTGATGGTGATGCTCCACGCTGCACAGACACGTGGGAGGTTCCCTTCGAGGAGATCTCGGAGCTGCAGTGGCTGGGCAGCGGCGCGCAGGGCGCCGTCTTCCTCGGCAAGTTCCACGGGGAGGACGTGGCCATCAAGAAGGTGCGCGAGCAGAAAGAGACTGACATCAAGCACCTGCGCAAGCTCAAGCACCCCACCATCATCGCCTTCAAGTGAGGGACGGCTCCGCTCGGTGCACTCGCACTCACGGCAGCGCTGCTCGCTCACGACGATGACGCCGGGCAAACACAGAGCACCCGCGCGCATCAAATTGTTATACAACTGTTAAACTGTTTGTATTTTTTTTTTCTTACCAGGTAAGGCCCGCTGAGCTATGCAGCAATTTTTTTTTTTGCAGGAGCGATCATCTGGCCATCGCAAATGATAGCTCAACGAAGTGGGCTCATCATGTGGAAACTTATAAGCGCCCAAATACTCTGAGCGCGTGATGTTTATTCTAAATGCGTAAGGAAAAACCGGAGGACCCGGAGAAAAATCCACGCGAACACTAACTCCAAATGCACAGCAGGCGTCATGGTCGGGGTTAAACGCAACGACCTCCTGCATACCCGGCGAGGGAGATTTAACTTCTCAGCACTGTGCCACCCCATGCAAAGGTGCGGCCCTGCTGGGTCTTTGCAAAGCCACTGCTGGCCTAAGGGCCTCCACTAGGGGGATATCTAGAGACACCCGCGCTAGAGGGTGTGTTGGCCTACTCTTCCGGGCTGGTGAGCAGTTAAAGCTGCAACCACAGGGCCCCGTATCTCACTGAGAGGACCCATTTGCAAGCAGGGTTGGGTGAATTTCAAATTCCTCAAGCAATCTTTTAACTCAATCTAGATTTGAAGTTTTCGTGACTGCAGGGATCCATACTCGTTGGTTCTTTCGGTAAAGTCACGTAGGTATAAAATTTAATTAAATCACGTGACGTTTCGAGCGCAACACAAGCGTCCGTCATCAGGTGGGACAACCACAGCAAGAGACAATTGCTGAAGTGGGCAAAAGGGCTGCTGTGACAAGAGGCTTTATAGGCAAGAGTGGTGGGAGGAGCCAGGGAGGAGAGATAGAGAGGGGGGAGGAGCCAGGGAGGAGAGATAGAGAGGGGGAGAGGAGCCAGGGAGAAGAGATAGAGAGGGGGGAGGAGCCAGGGAGGAGAGATAGAGAGGGGGGAGGAGCCAGGGAGGAGAGATAGAGAGGGGGAGGAGCCAGGGAGGAGAGACAAAGAGGGGGGAGGAGCCAGGGAGGAGAGACAGAGAGGGGGGAGGAGCCAGGGAGGAGAGACAGAGAGGGGGGAGGAGCCAGGGAGGAGAGACAGAGAGGGGGAGGAGCCAGGGAGGAGAGATAGAGAGGGGGGAGGAGCCAGGGAGGAGAGAGAGAGGGGAGAGGAGCCAGGGAGGAGAGATAGAGAGGGGGGAGGAGCCAGGGAGGAGAGATAGAGAGGGGGGAGGAGCCAGGGAGAAGAGCTAGAGAGAGGGGGAGGAGCCAGGGAGGAGAGATAGAGAGGGGGGAGGAGCCAGGGAGGAGAGATAAAGAGGGGGTGGAGCCAGGGAGGAGAGACAGAGAGGGGGGAGGAGCCAGGGAGGAGAGATAGAGAGGGGGGAGGAGCCAGGGAGGAGAGATAGAGAGGGGGGAGGAGCCAGGGAGGAGAGATAAAGACGGGGAGGAGCCAGGGAGGAGAGATAGAGAGGGGGGAGGAGCCAGGGAGGAGAGATAAAGAGGGGGAGGAGCCAGGGAGGAGAGACAGAGAGGGGGGAGGAGCCAGGGAGGAGAGATAGAGAGGGGGGAGGAGCCAGGGAGGAGAGATAGAGAGGGGGGAGGAGCCAGGGAGGAGAGATAGAGAGGGGGAGGAGCCAGGGAGGAGAGATAGAGAGGGGGAGGAGCCAGGGAGGAGAGATAGAGAGGGGGGAGGAGCCAGGGAGGAGAGATAGAGAGGGGGGGAGTGGAGCGTTGCTAGAGGGATTAGGACAGGGGTCGGGAACCTTTTTGACTAAGAGAGCCATGAAAGCAAAAAATTTGGAAATTTATTTCAGTGAGAGCCATATAATATATTTTAAAAGTGAATTCAACTAAATGTCAGTATAATAAGCCTCTGAATTTATTCTTTTAAATAATGTTGTTATAACACTCACCATTAATGCGACTTCTGGTGCTGCATGGATTTGCTGATGTCTTTGTAGTCGGGTTGGTACTTGGTGAGGTTAAGCTTCATGCAAGCGTTGAGGCTTTCATCCATTAAACGTGATCGTAGGTTGGACTTGATGTTTTTAAGATGTGAGAATGACTGCTCACATGCATACGTAGATCCAAACATGGTCAATACAGCAATACTCACACGCTGCAGTGTGTGGTATGTGACAGGAAGCGCGTTCCAAGTTTTGAGAATCAGCTGGTCTTCGGGTTGGAGTTTTTTCATTTCTGTCCACATGTGCTTGCTCGCCAACTCCGCTTTCTGTCGTGTGATTCTTTCCAAATCTTCATTCAGTGACTTGAACTTATTCACCCACATGTCTGAGGCCTTCAGGTCAGCCACTTCTGCTTCAAAATCTCTGACGGAGACACCAGGGATGTAATTCAGGTCGGCTGTGTTCAGTGAACACTCGTTTGGATGGGTGATGAACTTAAAAAGACGAGTGTGCTCACGAACTTCTCCAAAGCGTGCTTTGAAGGACTGTAGGAGACTGGATGTGCAGCCAGCTAGCTGGTGGAGATCAAGGTTTTGAATGGGCTCACTTGCTGTGCATGCATCTTTAAATTGGCTCAGTTTTTCAAAATGTAGTAAACGACCTGTTTCAAGATCCGTGATGAAAAGCTCCAGCTTGTTTTCAAAAGCAAATACAGCTTGTTGAAGGGATAACACTGTATTTCCAATGCCTTGCATTTTCACGTTGAGCTGGTTCAGATGTTCAGTCAGATCTACGAGATAGTAAAACTTGAGGAGCCACTCGGTGTCGGCTAGCTCAGGATGCCCGACGCCTTTCATTTCAAGGAAAGTCCGGATTTCGTTCAGGCAAGCCGCAAAACGGCTAAGCACCTTCCCTCTTGACAACCAACGCACATTGCTGTGCAAAAGCAGACCAGGATAGTTATTTACAACTTCATCCAGCAGTGTTTTAAACTGGCGATCATTTAAGGCTCGGGCAACAATAAAGTTGATCACACGAATGACCAGCGACATCACTTCGCCAAACTGCCTGTCACACATCTGAGCACAAAGTGCCTCCTGGTGTATAATGCAATGGAAACTTAGGATGGGTCTATTTTCATGTTCACGGAGAAGCGCCACAAATCCTTTGTTTTTCCCCACCATACACGGAGCACCATCAGTACACACTGAGAGAAGTTTATCCATAGGTAGACTTTTTTATTGAGCAAACTCCATGAAAGACTTGAATAAATCCTCACCTCTTGTGGACCCTTTTAATGGCAGAACAGCAAGACTTTCTTCGCGCAGTGTGTCACCAACAGCATATCTTGCAATCACGCTGAACTGCGACAAATGGCTCACGTCTGTTGACTCATCCAAAGCCAGAGAAAAGAACGGCGCTGCATTTATGTCCTTCACTTGCGTTTCCTCCACTTTGTTTGCCATCACGATGGTACGATCATGAACAGTTCTTGCCGACAGAGGCATGTCTTGTATCCGTTTGATTATCTTGTCTTTGTTCGGAAGATCATCAAAAAGTTAATTGGCTACATCCAGCATGAACGTTTTAGCATACTCGCCATCTGTGAATGGTTTTCCGTTCCTCACTATTGCTAAAGAACCAGCAAAGCTAGCCGAATTATAGTCACCTTGTCGGGTCCATATGCGGAGTTGCTGCTGGCTAGCTTGCACCCTGCTCAGAAGCTCTTGGCACGCTTTCTTTCTGCTGTCTCCCGCAGGGTATTTTGATGCAAAGGTAGCGTGGCGCGTGTCGAAGTGCCGCTTTACATTCGACCGTTTCAACGATGTAATTTTGTCATTGCAAATTAGACACACCGCAGAACCCGCTCTCTCCACAAAGGCGAATTCTTCGGTCCATTCGTCCTGAAATGTACGATACTCGTCGTCTTTTTTTCTTTTCGCCATCTTCTTCGTCGAAGGGTTAAGTTTGAGCTAATGACCGAGCAGACGCAGTCTCAGACTGATTCAAAAGGGGGCGTTTACCTGTTTTACCCAGCAACGGCAAACGTAGGCCAGTATCATCCAATTCAAATAATGGACAATTGCTCCTGCAGCCCTGAACAGGACATGCGCAGTGAAAAATCGATGGATGGATTAAAACAAGTGAGAATATTTTGTTTTATCTGCGAGCCATATGCAATCATCAAAAGAGCCACATCTGGCTCGCGAGCCATAGGTTCCCGACCCCTGGATTAGGAAAAGGGCGAGCACGGCAAAATGCCGGGGGGGGGGGGGGGGGGTAGAAGTGAGGGGGGCTGGGAGTGGGAGGCTGAAGAGAGGGGGGAGGAGCCAATGTTTTAACTCTTGTCGAGTCAACGGAGTGGTAACTATACACGCAGGTTAAAGCGCAGCCCTGCAAAGTCTTGCTCAACGCTACTGCTGGTGGAAGGTGCTCCACTCGAGGGAGCTGTAGACAGCCCCACTAGAGATGCTATTTTGGCATATGCTTCCACGCTGGCTAAACGTCCTGGAAGAAGTGGCAGTACTCACACTTTACCCCACCCCACACGATCTGCCAGTTAAACGACTGGCGTGTACCCAGTTTAAAATTTCCGGGTGGACAGAAGCAGCGGGAACGATGATGTTGATGCTGCTGCCGCGACGGATTTGTGCAGCTCGCTGACCGTTAACGCCACGGCAGCATACAGCATTCACAGACAAATAGCCTAGAGTATAAGGGCACGACAGGATATATGAATAAGATGTAAGGTATTCAGAGGTGAACGATATTCAAGCCTCGTGGATTCGTGGGGGGAAAGCGCAATGCGGTACGTGCTGATATTGCAAATAATGCCAGGGCGTTAACACAATCTCCTTGCAGTGGCTTGAATAGGTCACCGATTTAAGAACCTTCACGTGATGATGTTTTGAGGTGGTGGAGAATCTGTGGCGACCATATGCTGCCTTCACACCCACCCACTCAGGGCTGGCAAGCCACAATAAAGTAATTAAATAATGCACGCACTTTGTGCGCGCATTTGATGGTTGTTATTTTAATCACGTTTTTTG